GAGGGATCATGTACATGACAAACAAACAATCTCAAAGAGAGAATATGAAAATGCAGTACGAATAAGTAAACCCATATTGCAAAAAGGTACAAGTTGCGAACAAGAACTTGGTTGTTGGCGTTTTGTTGTTTTTTTCATTGTCCGCACAATAGCACATAATACGTCATTCAGAAAGCTAATGTTACACTTCGTGGAGATTGGACAAGAGTTAAAAATAAAAACAAATAAACAAACAAACAACAACCTTCAAAGCAACATAAAATTTATCGAACAATAAAAAAAAAACAAAAAAACCAAAGCGATTAAAAAAAAACTTTACATTCAATCTCAAGAAAACGAAAAGGCCAACAACTAAAACGGACCAACGTGTGTGCCTATCACAGAGAGGAAAGATTAAGACTGGGAAGGACAGTTTCACAAACGCCGCAGTGTTCTCTTGGCCATTTATTGTCCAGGCACCATAAAAACAGATTAGGCCAATAATCTTTAAGCTGAGATTCGTGAGTGGGTAAACAGAAAAGGGCAGGTGAGAGAAACCATTATAGCTGAACATCGACGGCACGGCGCGGAGTTTGTGCAGGTAGCATTGGTTGAGGAACGATAGATAGATAGATCATGAATGGTGCAGATAGATAGAAAAAAATATTCTTTTAGTTACAGGAAAAAGTGTTTTGATGGGAGGCATCGGTTGGTCTATAGATTTTATTTTTTAAATTGTGAGTCAGAATGCTTTACATTGAAATTGAGCATTTTGAGGCTAGGAACAATGTCTCATGAATGTGTTCAGTGTTCATAAAAGACGGTGCCAAAGACATTAAAACTTTTCACCCCAGGATAAAATAAAAGAATTAAATGTAGAAAATTGTTAAACAACTTGTATTGGTTTTAAGTGACATAAGCCCATATGCGCTTACGTTCACTTTGTTCTTAAAATGGATCAAAATCGCCTGTCATACATAACGTTATCGCTACACCCACGTTATCCCGACAGAGAGTGGAGACCCCGGATGTGCGTTGTCAAGTAGGTTCTGAATGGAGACCTCAACTGAACCGTTACTGCATAATACAGATGAAGCTGCCACTTTGACTGTCTTACTTTTTCTCCGAAGTAGGTCTGCGAGCCTCCGCGCAGATTTTAAAGCAGACCTACATGTAAGCAACTATCTCAACAACACACAACACTACATTCGCTGTAATGAATATGTGACAACCTGGGCAAGGCTCCACAGAGCACACACCACCAGCGCCAGTAACCGTCGTTGATTCAATGATTTGTTGTGTTGTATACAATTTTCAAATCATTTAGTGTAGCTTCCCTTGCAAGCAAGCACACATTGTGACCTGGTTACCTGGCAACGGCCAAACAAGCACTCAAGATGTCGGCGCACGTTGCCTGAATGAATGGTGCGCCGGTGGAGATATGAATGATGTGCGCATGTTTGTGACAGTGAACACGTGTGCAGTGCAGGGCTTTATATTTTGAGAAATAAGCTTGGAGAATTGTGTGTGTGTGTGTGTGTGTGTGTGTGTGTGTGTGTGTGTGTGTGTGTGT